TTAGATAATAAAAAAATTAAAACGAGGCTTTGCAAAAAAAAACTGGGAACCCAAGCCTCAAGCAACTTGGGTCATCGTCACACCATGACGTGAGGGAATCCAAATTTGGTTCCCTCGTCAGTGGGCGACTCCCCTAATGTAAAGGTCGTTGTGAGTTACCTTTCAGTCTTGCTCAAATAGCTCACATAAGAGCAGATTGGAAGGACAGAGGTATGCCGGAGGAACAGAGAGGAGTAAGTCTAAGATCCAGCGGCTTTGGTGGCCTTTCGCAGTAGGTGGCAGCCTCAAAGCTCCATCTCTTTCTTGCTCTCTGGTTATCACTCACGGGGATATCAGTGTTTAAATAAAGGTTAAATATCCTTTTTAGTCCCTTTATTATATAAAAAAATTTTTTTTAGTCTTTATATTGAAAAAATCTCTTTTTGATCATTAAAGTTTAAAATTTGATCCCTTTTTAGTCTTTTCATTAAATTTTGGCTGATATAACAAGTTAATTAACAAAATTATCTAATTTATTTTCTTTGTATGAATGACATGAAAAATATAAAAATAAAAAATGATGATGTGGCATCCCATAGACATTAAACATAATATATAATTTATAAAAACTAAAATTTCAAAGTTAACCTTAACCCCCTTATTCATGTTCAATCTTTTCCCATACAAACATCCCAAATCAAGAAAAAACAAATACCAGATCAACAATTTTACATAATCAAAGATCTAAACAAAAAAATAATAGCAACATAGGAACACAACAACACAAATTTGGATTTCACAGATAATTTCACATTATCAAAAAAAAAAAAAAAAAAATGATAGCAACACACAAGGAAACTAGGACACTAGGTTCATGACGAACCCAATGCTAGCAACACAGCAACACACAAGGAACCTAAGTGCCTAGGTTCGTGACAAACCTGACAAATGCGAAGAACCTAGGAGCTTAGGTTTGTGACGAACCCTGTAAACCCAAGCACCTGGGTTTGTCTTTCCAAATCTAATTTTTAGAAGGCAAAAAAAAAAAAAAAATACAAAAAAATGAAGGCCAAAGGAAAGAAAGGACAAGACAAAAGAGGGAAAAAGATGGGGGCAAATTAATAATTAACATCAAGTACTTCTAATCACAAAATGACTTTTAAACTATTTATAATGAAATTATGTAATTAAATGATTTTTAAAGTTATATTAAATAAAAAAATTTGATTATGCCATCAATTTTCACCAAATGAATTTCTCATATAATTTAAGTAAAAAGAATAAATTTTTTAATTAACTTGTCATACCAATCAAAATTTAAT